CCCATCTGTCTGCAATAAACTCTCCATAATGAAGTTGGTGGAAGGAGGATAAGGAGTTTACACTAGATTCTGGCTGTCCGCCCATCTGTCTGCAGTAAACTGTCCATAATGAAGTTGGTGGAAGGAGGATAGGGAGTTTACACTAGATTCTGGCTGTCCGCCCATCTGTTTGCGGACTCAATCTTTTCCTTACAGTTACAGTTTTAAGCAAAATTTCAAGAAACTGTACCTATATAGTCAACACACTGACAATTTGTGCCTGCAATTAATATTTTGATCCAGTCATTTTTATAGGAGTTAAGTCCCTTCTCCAATATCCATGTACCTCTACTTACCTAATACTGACCCATATTGATAACATTTTGTACACTTCATCAGTCCCTTACCAGGGTTTTTGCCAGGTGTTTATAGGGTCCGATACAGTGACCCATTCCCAATTGAAAATTGACCCTGCATTTTCCCCATTTCAATTTTTAGGTCACCTGAGCTTTAGCTCAAGTGACCTATTGCTATCCGTTTTCGTCCGTCGTCGTCCGTCGTCCGTCGTCTGTCGTCCGTTAACATTTTAAATTTCAAACTTAAAGTCAAGTTCTGCTGGGCCGATTGAACTGAAAGTTGGTAGGAATGATCACCTCATGGTCCTGACAAAGTGTTGTTATTTTTCGGGTCAATCAGAAATACAATTTGGCTGCCATGGCCGCTATTTTGCTACTAAATTCTAATAGGCCGATCTCACTTAAAATTGGTCTAGGAATGATCAGCTCATGGTCCTGACAAAGTTAAGTTAACATTATACTATTTTTTACTCAAATTGGTACATATTTCAACAAAAAAAAATAATACTGTAGACTCAGGTGACCGTTAAGGCCCATGGGCCTCTTGTTATTTTCCCAATTGAATTAAAAAGCATGTTTATACAAGTTTCCAGTCGTATTGCCGTCCATGAAGGAGCATTCAAAAAACATTATGAATAACGAAAATTTGAAATTGAATAAACAGAAACACTGAGAGTTGATGTGTTTATATATCCTATACATTTCACTGTAAGAAACATCTAGAGGAAAACTTTTTGCAAATCACATTGTAGGTTTTATTTTTCCCAAACCTGTTGGGACTGATGGGAACACTGACAAAAATCCCCAATTTTTGCAAAATACTGATGATATTTTCCCAATTCCTGCTCGTACTGCTGTGATATTTATTTTTTATCTAATTATTTTGATAACGGTTATACTCCTTCCTGATTCCCATTTTTAAATGTTGTCGAAATCAAATCCTGAACTGTCCTTTAATGAAAATTTATGTAACAGATCGTAATCTTCAGAGGAGGCTGTGAGCATTAAGTTAGTCTGTGGCTTACAATTCTAGTTCATAAGTATTTATGCTTAATTGATTACTTTCTATGTTTATTGATTGAAGCTAACAGAGTACCAAAATCAAACACAAAACATCAATTAAAACTGAAAGACTTTATTTCTTCACTATTTCATGGTAGAAATATAACAAGGAAATCTAATAACAACAAAGGATAGCATGCAACACTAAAAAACCAAAACAGTCATAATGCTATGATGTAATGTTTTATACATTTAACTAACTCACCAGATTACACAGTAAAGCTTACTAGGTCATTTAATACAGTACAGCTTACTAGGTCACTTAATACAGTACAGCTTACTAGGTCATTTAATACAGTACAACTTACTAGGTCACTTAATACAGTTCAGCTTACTAGGTAACTTAATACAGTACAGCTTAATAGGTCACTTACTACAGTACAGTTTACTAGGTCACTTAATACAGTAGAATTTACTAGTTCACTTAATACAGTTCAGCTTACTAGGTCACTTAATACAGTAAAGCTTAATAGGTCACTTAATACAGTACAGTTTACTAGGTCACTTAATACAGTACAGTTTACTAGGTCACTTAATACAGTACAGTTTACTAGGTCACTTAATACAGTACAGTTTAATAGGTCACTTAATACAGTACAGTTTACTAGGTCACTTAATACAGTACAGCTTACTAGGTCACTTAATACAGTACAGTTTTCTAGGTCACTTAATACAGTACATCTTACTTGGTCAATTAATATAGTACAGTTTACTAGGTCACTTAATACAGTACAGTTTACTAGGTCACTTAATACAGTACAACTTACTAGGTCACTTAATACTGTACAGCTTACTAGGTCACTTAATACTGTACAGTTTACTAGGTCACTTAATACAGTACAACTTAATAGGTCACTTAATACAGTACAGCTTAATAGGTCACTTAATACAGTCCAGTTTACTAGGTCACTAATACAGTACATCTTACTTGGTCACTTAATACAGTACAGTTTACTAGGTCACTTAATACAGTACAGCTTACTTAATACTGTACAGATTACAAGGTCACTTAATACATTATAGTTAACTAGGTCACTTAATACAGTACAGTTTACTAGGTCACTTAATACAGTACAGTTTACTAGGTCTAGGTCACTTAATACAGTCAGTTTACTAGGTCACTTAATACAGTACAGTTTACTAGGTCACTTTATACAGTACAGTTTACTAGGTCACTTACTACAGTACAGTTTACTAGGTCACTTAATACAGTACAGTTTACTAGGTCACTTTATACAGTACTGTATTAAGTGACCTAGTAAACTGTACAGTATTAAGTGACCTAGTAAACTGAACTGTATTAAGTGACCTAGTAAATTGAACTGTATTAAGTGACCTATTAAGCTGTACTGTATTAAGTGACCTAGGTCACTTAATACAGTACAGCTTAATAGGTTACTTACTACAGTACAGTTTACTAGGTCACTTAATACGGTAAAGTTTACTAGGTCACTTAATACAATACAGTTTACTAGGTCACTTATTACAGTACAGTTTACTAGGTCACTTTATACAGTACAGTTTACTAGGTCACTTAATACTGTACAGTTTACTAGGTCACTTAATACGGTACAGTTTACTAGGTCACTTAATACAGTACAGCTTACTAGGTCACTTAATACAGTACAGCTTAATAGGTCACTTAATACAGTTCAATAGGTCACACTCAACAATTTCTGTTTATTAATAGTTTATCAATAACATACTTGCCAAGCCTGCCTATTCAGGAGGGAGACTCCTGATTTTGAACCCATAAATTGAATATTTTCAACTAGGGAATTTGCTTAACTGTTCTTTATTCTAATCTAATGATTTCATTCAAAAGAATTCAGCTCAATTTATGTCATTTTAAAGGGTTATTTTGTCTCTAGAGACTATAAACACATTTTATTTATGTTTTAATTTTGAGCATGCAGAATCTCCCCCATGGAAGTTTCAAAAAGTTGGCAAGTATGCAATAAATAATGAATAGCTATAACTAGGTCACTGAAGTAACCATGTGTCACTGAAGTAACCATGTGTCACAGTGGTCTCATAGTATATTATCATTGTTATCAATGTAGGTGACCATGGGATATATTTATAATTTTGACTTTGATGTGTTGTTGACCTGTATAAATGTTTAAAACCTTGATTTCCATGTGTCCCTGTGCTGGGGCACACCTAAGAGCTCTGAGTTTTGTACCCCAGTAGTTAATGTTTTACTCTGTAATCATCTACATGTAAACAGATACCTATCACACATTTCAACTCAAACTTTTGTTAATGCCTGGTTAATATATATGATGCAGAATATTACTTTTTTACACAAATACCTGGTGTCATGTGTGTATATTTTGTCTGGAATGTTGTAAAAATAATTAAAAAAATAGTAATATCATATTCGAAAACTCTTAAGTCAAGACAAGGATACTTGTCACCAACTTTAAAGTATTTAATTAAGGCCAATATTATTTTTCATTTTTCAATTACAATTTTTTTCTATTATCTATGGTGATGCCCAAATGTATAAATAACTGACTGAAGTGGATGTAGGAGAGCTGGCCTATGTATAAATAACTGACTGAAGTGGATGTAGGAGAGCTGGCCTATGTATAAATAACTGACTGAAGTGGATGTAGGAGAGCTGGCCTAACTAGATAACTCGTGTAAAGGTATCCTAAACTATAACTGTCTTTATCTATCATATAAAGGATAATATATCAACGGACAACTACATACTTATGGTTTTAACAGGCCTATTGATAAAGTATAGTTAATGATAATGATTCAGTAGAATTGAGGAATGACCAATGGACTGGCATCAGACAGCAGGATGTGTGATGTCTATATATAGAGCTACTTCAATTGTCTTTCATCATTCAACATAATATCCTGTACCCTATAAACATCATTCACATCAACGTTTACAAACTCTTCACAAACAATCACTGTAAGGTGTAATATTCTTCAATAAATACTCCAGGTCGGACTTTTTCATGCAACGTATATTTAAAACCATCCAAAGTCCTACACGCACTGTAAAGTATACTAATAATTAGCCATGACAAAAAATGAAACTGTATTACAGTAATAAGTAATTGAAATTTTCTGCACTAACCACTTGATTACAACATTCAAAAGCAATAAGGTTTTCTTTAGACGGTTTTTGCCGTTTAAATGTCAATACTAAGACACTTTGTAAATTATAAATCGGATTGGTTATACATCAGAGAGCTATAAGCTATTTAGATTATAACATAATATTGTTTATATCACAGTTGTAAGCAGTAGGAGACTTAACAAGTCAGAGATATTCATAGAACTTCACACTGCCGTCTGTCATGGCTGTCATAAGAAGTTTGTCTGGGGTTGCTCCAACAAATCGAGGAATATCATCCATGAAGTATGACTTTTTCAGATCTCCTTTTGAGCTGAGAATATCAATGCGACCTTCACGTTTGTCGGTGACAATGACGTTGCCATACTTGTCGAAGGCAACCATGTCGGGCCCCTGGTACACTTCTTCCTCAGTGTCAGTGTTCCCATATTGAAACACCAGCTGTCCGTCCTGGTCAAAGCTGATGACGGAGTGGCTACCTGAGTCGGCCAGGTAAAACTTGCTGCGTTTATCATCACACACGATACACTGTGGCTTCTCCAGTAGGTACATACCTGCCTCCTGAAAGTCATCATTTGTGATCCGGGTCAACAGGTGGCCGTCTTGTTCAAACACTGCAACATTTCCACCCGACTTTGCAGATTTTCCGTGACTCTTGCGAATCTGTGCGTAGCGGTTGGATGTTATCATTAATCTGCCATTCTTATCAGCTGTCACAAAATTTAATCCAAAGCTTTCAACGTGAGAATCATTTAAGGCATGACCAGAACCATCATTTGTGAGCACCCTGACTTTGAAACGATTGTCTCCCCTTGGCACAGTGAGGGCCACCTTGCCATCACTAGACACCGAGTGGATATTCCATCCATTCTCCACAGGTACTTGTCCTCGAAGGATGCCATGTTTTTCCAGCACGTAGATACTTTGGCGGTCCTTACAAGTCGTCCCGATGATTATGTCCCCATTGTTGTTGACCCCCATACCCTTGAAACATTCCCGCTGTATTCCAGGGGGAAGGGCAAATTCACGTTTGGGGTTTTCAAGGTTGTACCCTAAGTCAGTTTCGTACTCTGATTCAGTGACCTGTTCACTAAATTTAACATTGCGCATGTTTTCTGAGGTATTACTGACCCCAAGCATGTCGGTGTCCGACTCGCTCTGTGACTGACTCAGCATACCACTGGCGATGGCGGAGTTCATTATTTCCACCAGCTCTGGGTCATTGTCACTTCCGTGGCCAGAGTCTACGGCATGTGATAAGTTGTAACTTGCAGACAGAGAGTCTTCAAAACCAGGTGTTTTTGTTTCTGGGGCACCAACTTCCTTGAGCTCCCCAAACATATCACAGATAGTTTCAACAGTAGCGTGAGGCTCTGTCAGCTTTAAATCTTGGATCTCCTTAGTTTCAGGTAGTAATGGTTCCTCACAAAGTTCACGGATACGAAATCCAACTTTCTTTCTCATGAAAACTTTTTCTTCGTATGTTCCATAATTCTTGAGAGTTTCAGTGAAGTCCCTCACACCTTTAATGGCCGACAAGTGAGTTTTTATATCATACCTCTGATTCTTTATTTCCTGCATCTGCTGCTGATGCCTTTTTCCGATCTCTTCGAGGAGCAGACGTTCGTAGTTTTGTATTAAGTCGCACAGAACCTGGGTCCTCCTCTTGACATTGTCCTTTAGGCTCTTTTGCAGCTTCTCAGCTGTCGCCTGGGTTTTGTCCAAATTTCTCAGTGTCCCCCTCAAGACCTCATGATCATTGTCTAGTTCAGAAAGAGGCTCCTGAATTTTCTGTTCAAAGTTGCCAGCTACAGCCATAAGTTCTGTGCACCTGTGTTCTCCATGACTGGCTATGTGACAGTCAGCACAGATTGACATGTCACAGTCGACACAGAACAGGGCCCCAATGTCTATTGGGTCGTAGCCACTACAACATGTTGGAATTATCTCCCCTTGTTTAGGATTGGAGGGTGTTCTCCTGTTGTAATCGTCCATAGATTGTGTCTTGTGTGCTGAGGTTTCGTCCTGTGAATCATGAGAGTCGGAACATGATTTACACAGGAAGTTGTCACATGTCAAACAGTGAGACTCGGCATCCACAAAGTTTCCACTGTTTTTACAGGTAGTACACAGCGTCTCACATGTCGTCTGTTCAGTCACAGGATTCAACAGGCGCATTGCTAAAATGTTGCTCGGTAGATTGTCAACACTCTCTGAGGAGAGTGTGGTTTCTGTGGCACAGGTTGGACAGGGGAAATAACCCTCACTGTCAGTGTTGGCCTGTATGTGCTCTTCCATACATTTGAGACAGAAGGTGTGAAGACATGGCAAGTACTTTGGTTTCTTAAGGTCATCATCACACAGCTTGCAGCACAGGAACTGGCGTGGGATCACCAACTCAGTCTGCTCCGACGTCTCCATGATACTGTTACTCTGAAACACACAAACACATCATTATAAAGCATCGCTTGTAGCATCAAAATTGATATATTATATCTTTATTACTGGTCAAAAAAACACTTTTAAAGCTGTTTTAGTAAAAGAAAATACAAAATATAAAGCATATAGCTAAAATTGATGATTCCAAACCTAGTACAAGAACAGTTAGCCAGCTGCACTGTTACACAGGATTGCTAAGCCAGAGTGGAATACAGGTGGAAACCGCCAAGCTTAATAGTGTGTGTGCTACATATCATGGTCATATATGGCCTTATGTTTTACTGAATTCGCATTATGTTAAATTCACATATTGGTGAATCACACATTCATGTGACTGGTACTGAAATTGTCCATCTCTTTATCAGGTTTCAGCAATGGTATCTCCTGGGAAGTTGACTGTCATGGTGACGGCATTGATCTAGGCCTGTCATCGAGTGTCCTTTTAGAAACTGGTTATTATTTTCTGCTTAACTGTGACAGATTGCATGATTTGAGGGTATGAAGACATACTGTCACTCGCTGGTATTGAACTAACTCTTGTATATTTGGTATCTGTGGGTTGTTTATTGGACTGATGCCTGTGACATTTGGGTATGTGTGGGCTGTAGTGTACCGTCCAATCAATACACGATCTTACTGTAATTATTGTCTGCTTCTTTGTGTGAAATTAGAAACATAATTGTTCTCTACTAATCATGCAGACATTTAGCATGCTAGTAGGTATGAGCTTTACTCCTGGGGCATCTTGTGGTTAACTTCTAAGCCAGAAAGATTTATGTTTTTATTCTATATTTTCCTTTGCAAGGACTTATTTATTTATTATCTACATGTATTTATATATATATGGTCTTAAAGATATTATTTTAAATATTTCTTTTAAGTGTTTACTGTCTTCTTTCTGGGTGTAGGACCTGGGATGCATTTTATTTGGGGTCTCCATTAGGTTTTAGGAATCTGTCAGAAGAAAGTGGCTGGTAAGGGGCACTTTAAATTAGGGAAGGTGAGATGTAGGTACAACTGAATTTGGGGCAGGATGGGATCAATACCTAGGTATTTGGTAATCAAAGGATCTTATACCTGGACTAAGGAGATGATAGTATAACATTGGGGAAATGAGCTACAATAAATATAAGGGGACATTGGAGAAGAATCCTATAACTGGCTATTGGGGAAAGTCCAATATATATGGACATAACGAGAGGGGAATATAACTGGACATTGGAGAAGGATCATATGAGTGGAAATTTCAAGGAAAGATCTTAGCATTGTATAAAAAATGGACATTAGTATCAGAGAAGTATAGCTGGGCATCTAGGGAGCACCTTCACACTGGACATTCATATGATGCTTTGTCAGCTGACAACTACAAACAGAGACTTGAGAGCTATATATACGTTAATTTTGTATGTGGTCAAATGTTTGTGAATATACTATAGACAGAAATTGAAAGTGCATCAGGCCAGAGGTTTATGAGATATTGGGTATAGACTAGTAAACCAGCTGTATTATTGATGTTCAGTCAAACAGCTCATTATAGCACCGACCTCTGTACTGAACTTGCATAGATACCGTGGGCGATAATTACTGCCCGTCTCCTTTACTTTACAACCTCAATTTTACAATCTGGAAACCTGTATAAACCAGACCTCAATTTTACAATCTGGAAACCTGTATAAACCAGACCCCAACTTCACAATTTAAAGAAACCTGTATTAACCAGACCTCAACTTTACAATATGAAAACCTGCATAAACCAGACCTCAACTTTACAATCTGGTAACCTGTATAAACCAGACCTTACTTTACAACCTGGAAGCCTGCATACAATCCAGATCAGTTAATTAGATTCCTCTGTGTGTTTTGATGTTAGTGGAAATTTAAGTCCACACTGTCAAGGACATGTGAGGGCATTTAAAAATGGCCCGAGTGGTGTGGTTTACGAGTTTGAGTGTTCGTACAGCTTGGTCAACATAAAGGACCTACTATTTATAGACCTGTACAGGTTCCCATTGTTAAGCTACCCGCCATTGTTCATTGTACTTAAATCATGTATGTTTACATTGGATTCTTAACATTTTTATGTGTGGTCTTTACTGGTAACAAAACTTCACTTTTTAAATGGCGGCCACCAGTCAACAACTTAATGAAGGTACAAGTGGGAAGTTTTAAGACTTTATACAAACATGACTTGGCATATACCATAATTTATGTTCAAGATTAGTCGAAAACGATGGTTGATCATTATCCATTTATACTGTATATGCCCTCGTGTAATACTGTGTGTGCCAAGAACTGATGGAATGTATGAAACTCAATATACCCGTACATTATTTTCTCCTTATACTGTAGACCATTAAAGTTTGAATAGAGATTGGTGACTCCAGCATGCCTGCCAATATATTTCAGGCTGAATTTGGTGATCACACTCCCAGCCTTAATTATTATAAATAAAACAGATTCATTAGATCTAGCTTTGCAGCAGAACACACTTTCATTTCCTATTTATCCTTATGCTTGATAACGCGACAGGATACTAGAAAATCATAACTTCCTTTTTTGGTCTCATCCATTACGTGACACATCAGCACCTTACCTGTGAGAACAGTAACATCTCGCCCATTACATGACACATCAGCACCTTACCCGTGAGAACAATAATATCTCGCCCATTACCTGATAACACCTTACCCGTGAGAACAGTAACATCTCGCCCATTACGTGATAACACCTTACCCGTGAGAACAGTAACATCTCGCCCATTACCTGACAACACCTTACCCTTGAGAACAGTAACATCTCGCCCATTACGTGACAACACCTTACCCGTGAGAACAGTAACATCTCGCCCATTACATGACAACACCTTACCCGTGAGAACAGTAACATCTTGCCCATTACGTGACACATCAGCACCTTACCCAAGAGAACAGTAACATCTCGCCCATTACCTGACAACACCTTTCCCGTGAGAACAGTAACATCTCGCCCATTACGTGACACATCAGCACCTTACCCGTGAGAAAAGTAACATCTTGCCCATTACGTGACACATCAGCACCTTACCCATGAGAACAGTAACATCTTGCCCATTACGTGACAACACCTTACCCGAGAGAACAGTAACATCTTGCCCATTACGTGACAACACCTTACCCGTGAGAACAGTCACATCTTCCCCATTACGTGACAACACCTTACCCGGGAGAACAGTAACATCTCGCCCATTACGTGACACATCAGCACCTTACCCGTGAGAAAAGTAACATCTCGCCCATTACGTGACACATCAGCACCTTACCCGTGATAACAGTAATATCTCGCTCATTACGTGACAACACCTTACCCGTGAGAACAGTAACATCTTGCCCATTACGTGACAACACCTTACCCGAGAGAACAGTAACATCTTGCCCATTACGTGACACATCAGCCCCTTACCCGTGAGAAAAGTAACATCTTGCCCATTACGTGACACATCAGCACCTTACCCGTGATAACAGTAATATCTCGCTCATTACGTGACAACACCTTACCCGTGAGAACAGTCACATCTTCCCCATTACGTGACAACACCTTACCCGGGAGAACAGTAACATCTCGCCCATTACGTGACACATCAGCACCTTACCCATGAGAACAGTAACATCTTGCCCATTACGTGACACATCAGCACCTTACCCGTGATAACAGTAACATCTTGCCCATTATGTGATAACATCTTACCCATGAGAACAGTAACATCTCTCCCATTACGTGACAACACCTTACCCGTGAGAACAGTAACATTTCGCCCATTACGTGACAACACCTTTCCCGTGAGAACAGTAACATCTTGCCCATTACGTGACAACACCTTTTCCGTGAGAACAGTAACATCTCGCCCATTACGTGACAACACCTTTCCCGTGAGAACAGTAACATATTGCCCATTACGTGACAACACCTTACCCGTGAGAACAGCCTTTGACTCCCCTCCTCATCCACAGCTGTACTACACATTATTTCCTTCGAGTTGGTGTCTTATCCTTAAAGTTTCCCGAGAATCACAATCCAGACTGACAAACAGTTGATGGTTTAAGCTCAATTTGATGCTATTCTATGCCTGTACTGTTTGAATACAAGTTCACAGTTAATCACGCCTCCGATGTAAACCTTTCAATACGACTTACATTTCGCTTACATGTTAGGTTTACCAACTGAATGGCTGATTGTTGAGCTAGTGTTACACTGATGAAAAGCATACTGAAATACACATCTAGAGTGTCAACCTTATTCTGCACAGAAAGCTGCCTTGTATAACTGTCTGATCCAGGTTTGTGTTCTAGACTGCTGTTGGGATTGAACACGTCTCGTACATCCCCAAGCATGAACGGTCTGGTGCTTTCCAGAGGATTAAGTCGTCAATGAAAGTTGTTTCTTTGAGGTGGCCTTAAAGGTGATGTGAAAACATTATATTCACAGTTCAATACTTTATATAGTTTACAGATGAATGTGAAGCTATCAAAACTCAGGTAAAAGAATTGTCCAATGTGTAGCGAAAGGTTGACTCCTTAACACAAATACAGTTGGCTCCAGTGTTTTAGTTAACTTCTCTTTATTGTCTTCAATAGTAGATAAAGATTGTCTCTCAGATCATAATACCAGCTAACTCAGATTAAGGTTGACCATTGACTTTCAGTTCAGTGTAAGACAATAAGCTAAAGTATGAGCTTTAGATTCGCTTTAACATGATGGGCAAAGCTTTGTAGTGTGAAAGCCTGGGCCATCAAGAGGATCAATTTGATACCTTCTCAATGTATTGTACCTTAATGGATCCAGAAGTATAAAATGTATCCAATAGAATAAATCTGTTCTGGCACCATAAACTTATACAACTCCAGTCAGTGTTCCATCTTCTCCATGGCCAGGTATTGGACATTATCCAGCAGTCGGGAGTGTCACCTTGAGTGAGATACACCGTCAGTACTGACAGAGATCATGGTCAATACCTGACT